GAGTTGGGCCTGGAGGCCCGAGGTAGGGCTTTGGGGGTAAAGCGAGGACATCGTGACAGGGAGGTGTGCGTAGGCCCTGCCCGCGGTCCCAGGGCCGGCCTGGGGCGGGCAGGCATTCAGCCCTCCAGTGTTTTGGCCAGGGATGCCCCAGCCGCCATGGCTGTGGGATGGGTGTCGGTGCGGTAAGTGTGTGTGTTTGCTGGGGTGCTGGAACCACAACCCTTGTCAGACCACTGCACCCGCTCCCTCAGCGTTCACAGAGCTACAGTAGAACTAGTTTCAGATTTTTCTTTTTGGTGGGTGTTCACAGCCATGCATGGCCCAGGTAGGGGAACGGAATAATTCCTGGATGCGTCCTGGCTCGCTGCATGGAGCTGCTAGGTCCCTGTGAGACTCAATGTGTTTGTTGGTCAGGCTGCATGGTGAGTTGTAAGGCCAAATTCGCTACTTGTGTATTTGGGGCAGGCATCTGTTACTGCCTAAGGTACAGCACCATGTGAGCCTTCATTTTGAATGGGGATGAGATTTGCCCCAGCGGAAAGCTCCAGGCCTGCAGTGCACAATGCAGGGATTCCAGCTTGCTTGGGGAGCTGTGGAGCGTGGTCCCAGGGACAGCCTGCACCCATCTGCCAAAATGAGTGTCAGCAGCAGTGCTGCAGTGGCAGGATGCTCTGTTGTCATTTTAAAAAAACCCAAACCACCAAATGTGTGAAGACTGCAGTGTTGTTTGAGGAGTTTGAAAGTCCTGGGCCCAGTCTGCAGAAACTGCTTTTTCTGAATACAGGGAGACCTGGGTGTAAAACATTAGGGGAAAAAAGTGTGGTTATTTCAAAGGTGTGAGGGACTATGGCCTAGATACTCTTTGTAATGGATATGGAGACTTGATGGTCTAGTTTGGGCTTTTGGGCACTTGCTGATGAAGTGAGAACATACTTTCAGATTGGTGAGTGCTTATTCAGGCTGATTTGCTCTGTGGTGAGCTGTAGCGTAGGCACGGACTTCAATTCAGCTTTGTGTGGAAGAGATTTAGCTGGATCATGTCTGATTCCCTGATGTGAAAGGTGTAATGAAGAGATAATAGGAATAGTTAAGGGAGCTTAGCAAGTTTGTGATATTTAATATTAATAAATAAGGGGCACTGGGCTCTGCAAAACTCCTGGAGTCAACAGCTGCATGGAACTGTAGTGGGCTGAGATGCTGTGGCAATCTGAAAGCAGCAATGAGTGAGTTCAGCTCATTGCAGAGTTTCCACAGGGCTGCATGCATGAGAATAAATGTGACCCATTACATGGAACTAAATTCAAGAATTGCTCAGATTATGTAGCGTAACATTTGTGTATAATAGATGATTTCAGGGACTCTGCTGCTAGTTCTTGCATGCTTTTTTGATGAAACTTCACAGGTGAATTGTCCACCAAGTTTTTCAGTAGTGTTTTCTGAATATCTGTTTGTAATGGTACATAAGACTTGATTAGAGTCTAAGTGAAAATAGCTTGCAGATTGTTTGAGGTTGGGAATAGGTCTACGTGAATGATTGGTCTTACTCAGTAGAGCAATTTCTGCACTACTAGTTCATAGTTTAAATAATTGATTTTTACCTTCTTTAGCATTCTGGGAATATGTGCTGTTTTTCCTGTGTTCTGAGGTTATCCTATAATGCTTCCTTTCAATTTATTTTTGCAGAAGCTGGCGTGCAAACAAATGGGAACAAAAGAAACCAGGTTTTGAAGATTGGACATGGTGGAACTTTGGACAGTGCAGCGGCAGGAGTTCTGGGTAATGGAAAAATATAAATATAGTCATCAAAAGATGATTTTAGGAAACAATTTTCATGCCTACATGAAATCAGAGGTGGAAGAACAACTTGGGATACACATGGCAGGCTTTGTGGTTTTGTGGGAAGGACGGGTTACTGTGGAAAATTTCCTCTCCTCTGTGTATACTTGTACATGCATGTAGTGTGTTTCTTAACAGAAGGCTATATCTCCCCTGCCCTAAACTCCTGAAATAATAACTTGTCGGTCATTACATGAAAATATGGGCTCTTGTGTAGTAAGCTCTAAATTACCCCAGAAATTGACGACTTTTTTAATCTAAGCTGGGGATTTATAGCCATCAAAATTTTCTAAAGTATTTCTTCTGAAACTAATGCTTTTCTGGGATTTTGAGGAAGCCTTTTTGGTTGTAATACTTGCCAAATGAAAGATGTATAAGAGCAATTCAGCTACTGCTTTTTCTGTGCTGTCAAAAAGAAGATAGTTTTTTCTTCTTGTCTTGCTTCATAAAGAAGAGTCATCAAAGAAATGTTGTCTTAATGTTGATAGCAGTACATTTATTGAATTGCTTTGTTTTATGAAGGAGCAGAATATATCAGTTGTTGGTGTTGAAAACTCAGCTCTGGGCGTGACCACTGGGCTGGTTTACTACTGTGTTACACATTTTCACTGATAGTTGTGTTGATGAGTGACGTGCAAACTACAGCTTGCTTAAATCGTAGCCTTCTAGCTCTGTCTGGCTAGAAGAAATAACAGCAATGCTTTTTTGGTATTGAAAATCAACAGGTGCAACTATGAGTATACACTGGCAGTAACTCCACTGAGTTTTGATCTAATGACTTCTCAGGGAGAGCTGTAAGGGGATGTTGTTTGCTGAGGCTGTTGCTAGTAGAGGCCTACAGGCTGGTAATTGTCTGTCTGTGTCAGCTGTGAACATTGCAGAAAGTAACATTCGTGGGCGAGAAGTAAACTCGTTATGTTCCAGTTTGCTGTGTGGCTACTCACCGGAGAATGCTGTGTGTATTGCTGAAGTGGACATTTGCCTTTTATGCAGATGTTCCCTTTGAGCATGCTACTGCTCCTTGTGGGAAGTCAACAGCATTGATCTGTGGGGAAAAAAAAAAATCACTCTTGCTTCTTAATTGCTTCTCCTACTGTTCTCTGATACCCAGCAGTCTCCAAAGCCTGCTCCTGTGGCATGACAAAAAGTACTTGGACCTGATGTGCTTGGTAAAGACAGAGAAGTGCATCACCTTAATATGCTATGGATCAATTAAAAAAAGGCCCAGGATCTTTCATTCCACTGCCATACAAAACACACAGAGAAAAATCAATGGTAGCTAGTTTGGGAAGAACAGAACCAGAGAGGAATGGGGAAGGGAATGTGCCCAGATTTCTTGTGGGTTCAGGTATGATAATGAGGAGAGAAGGAAGGACACAACAGAAACAAGTTGTTCAGAAAATGTGTGCTGCTTTTTGGCATAGGGTGGTGGGGCAGGGAGCTTCGGTTAAACCTTGTTACACTCTGTGTCGCCTTTCAGTAGCACGCATGCCACAAAAGCTGATGATTAATTGGGAAAACTGTTAGTGTTTTTAAAATTATTCTATTGAATCTCTTGACACTCCAACAAATTTCAGCTCAGTTGTTATGTTGAAGTGTCAGTGATGTCATCATGTGGCAAGAAAAGTGTTTGGTTATAAAGTTTTATCGGTGTCTTATCTGCTTTTCTCAGCTGTGTTGCAGCTCTTTCCTGTCTGGTGAATATGACAGGAACAGGCTGAACTGAAGGTACCCAGAAGCGCAAGCACAAGGGCACAGTGACTACAAATCCTCATGAGCAGGAGGAGAAATAATTGAGAATAAGAAGTAATCTAATGAGCTTCAGCATGTAAAGACTGAGAAGCAGTAGAGCCCAAGTGTTTATTTTAAAAAAGCCAAACTAGTTCCCTGTTTTGATGCTTTTGGTACTGGCTCCTGGTTAACACAAAGCTGATGTCCTGCCAGCTCCCTCAACTCCTGCAGTTTTATTGAAATCTAGGACGTGAGTCATTACATACTCCATGAGTTGTACATGAATCTAATATCCTTCCAAAATTTTCATTGTTTCCTATTTTCCTTCTCTTGTCATTGTTTCTTTGGATTGCTGTATGTGGAGAAAATCAATAGAAAAGCATATTCAAGGAAAGAACCTGGTTGTAAAAAGCTTTAAAATTAAATATAGAGTTCTTTTTCTGTCTTCTTTCATGAAAAGCTGACTGACTCTAGTTTTGCAGAATGCTGGTTTAAGACTGAAAAGGCCATACTCTGTACAAACGCAATAATGGGAGCTTTAGATTATGAAAGATTTTTGACAGAGGCAGTTGGACCTTTTGATTATTTTCCTTTCTTGCTGTAAGCCTGTAGCATAATGAAATTGTTTATCTTGGTTATATTACTCTTGGTCACTATCAACCTTTAAAAGGGCTCTTTAGTTACAGTGAAGGCTAGATTCATTATCAGTGAGCCATAGCCTTCATCAAACCAGAGGCGGCGTTAATTGCTCTATCCATTTCGTTGGTGATTAAAAGATAAATTGTTGAATTAAAGCATTTTAACAATAGGTGAAGCTTATTTATCTTCTGCGTTAGACTTTTTTCCTGTCACCAGTCTTGTGTTGTTTGAACATCAGAGGTGCTTTCTCATAGCATTGACTCTCTCTATATGCTAACAGAGCATGAAAGGCTGTTTCTGACTACCGTAGTATTTATTAATGGATGGTGTTGAAAAAGGAAACTGCAGAGCTGGTTTTCAAGTGGCCTTTCTCCTTCTGTCTTTGCAGTGGTTGGTATTGGAAGAGGAACAAAAATGCTAAGAACTATGTTGGCAGGTTCCAAGGTAAGGAGTGCTAAATTACTTGTATCAGTGGGATTTTTTGTGTCTTGGTTTTCTTTTTCTTTTCTCTTCCAATGGAGTGCTGCATCAACATATAGATATGTCAGCCATCCTCTGTGTTTAGATTAGATGTGTACTTCAGTTCCATTTTGCATTTAGTCAGAAATTTGGTGTTAAGACTTTTATGTCCAAAATGTTTATTCTAAAACCTGTTTGTCCTGGTTTTTTTTCTACAGAATGTTAGTAAAGGCCAAATTCTTTCTTTACAAGAAGATTTCTTTCTATAACTATTTAGTGTTTTTAAAAAAAAGGTGGGGGGGAAGCTAATGAAGATGGCACTGTAATGGAGGTTTTTGGGACGTAATTGTGTATGACAGTTTGGTTTTTTGTCGTTTTCCTTATGTGTAGATAACATAATTGTTATTTAGCTTGCAGTAACAGATGGTCTTTGTTTCTTTTCTCTCTTCTTAAATATCATGGGGCCTTAAGAGGAATTAAGAGTGTTTTGCATTCGTGATGGTAGCTATCATTCCAGATTGCAGCTCCTGTAGAAGGGAGCTCTACAGACACACGGGTGGGGACATGTAAGAAACCAATTTTAACAGAAGCCCTGAGGCTGCTTGAGGTAATGCAGGCTGGAGCCTTGACGATCTAGTTCATTGCTGCTTTTGGTGAGTTGCACTATGTCTTTGAGTGCACTTTAGATTTTACAACCAAACAAGTGCGTGTACTCCCAAGAATCATCTTCCTGTGTTGATTCCTTCTTTGCAAGTAAAAATCTGTGGTTTTAGCCATTATTTGTAAATGAGATGTTTAGGTAAGAATGACATGACAGATGCAGAAATCAATTAAGCCTTCCAGATTTCATCTTATACTCAGGGAAAGTCAATAGTGGGCTCAGCAAATTGATAGCCCTTCTATCCACTTTATTTTGCCATTTTTCCCATTCTCTTCTGGTCTGAACACTTAAGCTCTTTACAGGTGCCGAAGTGATAACTTGAGATAGAACTCAATTGACACGCTTCAGTTCAGCGCAAAGGAAGATAATGTGACAGACGAGAATACAACCAGGATAAAAGACATACCTGTAGAGTCTGATCCAAAACTTGCTGTAGTCAGTGTCAGTCTCTGCACTGACTGTAGGGGGTTTGCATTTGGTTTATAGGACCAGATTTCAGAGGCATCTGCTCCCTGAAACATGGTCTAAGCAGCTGGAGCTGGCTTTACAGTGGAAGTGTAAGCAGTTAGCAAGGACTTTTAACTTAAAAAATGGCATTGAGATACTTCAACTAAATTAAGTCATCATAGCTAAATGTGTGAAAATTGTTGATTTAAAAACAGGTAGAGCAATTGAATATCTCTTAAGCTGATGTTCACAGTGGAAACAGTTGTGATGGATGAAGTAGTTTCAACCTGTTTGGCAGAAGAGAGTATGCTCAGGCTCCTTGGTGACTCCACTGCGAAGTCCTGTAGTCTGTAGGATGTTACCTTGCTAGACCTTAGGCCAATAGCACAAGAAGGCTTATAGCTGCTTCTGAGGGATCAGGGAGGGGGACACAGAGGAGAAATGGGCAGTGGGGGCAGTCTGGTCAGCCACCCTGGCCTCACCCAGCCTTAGATCGGTGTAGGCTGTGGGCATGAGAGTCAGAAAGGCAGGCAGGGTTACAGCCTTATAATAGATCAGCTCTTCCACTGCAGCTGTTTGTGGGCCCTGGTGTGTGGGGGAGAGTGTGAAGTAGCTAACATCCATGCCAGGTGGCATGGTGGTCGTGAGCCTGCATTTGGAGCTTCTCTCATATCTGCTTTCCTATTTTCTACTTCCTGAGTGCCTAATTTACTGAAGTGTAAGTTGAGAGGCTTGAGGAAGTTGAAGGATCTGCCACAGGTATCTATTTGTTTTTTTGACCACACTCACAACAAAGGCTCATAATGTAGTGAGAGTTCTGACACAGATAAATCCATGACTGTCTAAATAGGTGTGAATATCGTTTTGCATCCCATGCCATGTGCTAGGAGTTTTTACTCTTATTTAATCTTTTTTTTACCATTATGGATGCTAAAGTGTTTGTTGAAGTATGATGTTTTTCTTTTGTTCCTTTTATTACTCTGAAGATTCAGATGACCTGTCTGGGCCTCTCTGGTTAGGATTTGCTGTTTGATCATAGGGATATATCTTTGTAAATAAAATAGTTCAGTCTATCATTGTTGGCAACGGAGCTATGCTGAGTGGCCAAAACGTATGTTACTGCAGTAAACTCCATATGGTGGCTCTGCCAGAGATTGGACTGCTTCTGAATTTTTCCCAAACGTTGTGTGAAACTTTCCTGACTCTGTGTGGCAGCTCTGAACATTATCACTTGATTTGCAACTTGCACACGTTATAGGAGGAGTGTTACTCAATGAGTGTAAATCTAGTTCTCCATTGGTTTGACCTCTGTATGAAATAACTCAAAACAAATAGAAATGTGCAGCCAAGGCCAATACCTACTCAGTGTTCCAGATTTCTCATTGAATTCTTAATATTTATCCAGAAATAAAAACATGTGCCAGCTGACTTAGATTTTGTTTGTTTGCTTTATTTTGTTTCACGTGTTCCAAGTGAGGGGGAAAAGCTGAATCCTCTTGGATGTGGAATTCAAATACTGAGCATTTCATACATGTTCCATAGGAGAATCATTTTTCCTCTTGTGTTCTGAGACTTGGTCTTGCTTGGGCTTTTTGCACTGCACTATTTTGAGAGAAATTGTTTTATCGTGTTTGCAAAATAAAGATACTAGTACAGGAAAACATTTCTTGCTTCATCAGTAAAATGAATGGGATGAAGGTGGAACCGAATTTTATTATGGTAAATTCTTTCTGAAGGATTCAGTCTTATGGGTGACTAGTCTGTCTGAAACAGGGTAGAAGTGATTTTTCTGCAGAGGAAATGGGTTAGAAAATGCTAGCTAGCAGCACAGTTTCCAAAGCAGTAATCCTGTTTTAAAGCCTCTCATTTACCAGAACGAGCTGTTACGTGGAAGCAATGAGGGAAATGATCAGGGAATCATCAAAGAACAAAAAAAGAGAAGAGCAATAAGCAATGAAATTCTCATTATTCTAATACTTTCCATTGGGAGGAGATGTCTTCCAACACATATGGCCTTTATTTTTAGGTGGGATAAAATGGGTTAATTGAAATTTGCAGACTTCAGTTCCATGATTTATTTGGGTATTTTTCAGTGAGATAACATCTGGGTTCACCCTAAGAGTTGAGTCACACCCGTGTGAATGAAGTCAGAACTTGGCCGACTGTCACACTGTGTTTGAAATCACTGCCTCTCGACGAGCAGAAAGGATGGGCGTATCGTTTTCATCTGAGGACGCAGCTGCTTGTCACAGGCCACATAGAATCTGAACCCCCGAGTGCTCAGTGACGTAAGAGGAGTTGCCTGAGGACTTTGAGCCGGTTGCACAGGCTTGGGCAGGGACTAGTTAAAATAGAAAATTGAACCTCAAAAGTTGTGGCTTCTCTAGAATGAAACACTTCAGAAAGAAGAATTAAAAATCACTGGATAGAGTAAAATCCAAACTGCAAATGATCATAAGGACTAGAAAGAGAACAAGATTACATATGAAGATGCATCAGTGACCTGATACGTAACACCTTTGATTTATTGTAATTGTTAAGCTTAAATTCTTAGGATTCCTGGATGGAAAATGAGTGTGTAGTTCAGTGATGAGGTCTCAGAACTTGCCAGTCACACTTGTATGAGAGAGGGCTTGCCTGAGCAGGAATTGGCTGGAATCACATGGGAGAATTTCTGAGAGCGGTGGAAGTTACTCCATGATTCTGGGTCTAGAGTTTGTATACTGCGAAATTGTGTCTCTAGAGGGCTGGCGCCAGATGCTGCGCAACAAAGTGTCCATGAAGCAGGCTGTTTCTTTACCCCCTGTAATTATCTTACTGTCCTAAAAATTAGACTTTGATTTGTATCCCTTAACTTCTCAAACAGAAAGGTTGCTGGCTTTCTCCATGAATTCATTTTTTTTGAATTAAGCCCTTCCATCTTTTGGCAGGGAGTTCAATGAATTAATAATGCATTAAAAAGCACATCTAGTAGTTCTATAAGGAGCAAAACTAATGAAGCCTTTTCTTGTGACTTTGTTTACAGCTCGTTAGACACCAAAGCCCCATGTGGACTCTTTGGTATCGAGTTATACAGTGGGGCTCCCTCTGGAGCCTTTTTCTTAGTGGAAGCTGTAATAGATTTATTTCCTCTATCTATCTGTTTTCAGGAGGCTTATAAGAACTCTGCATCGCTGAGACCTCTGTTCGTCTGCCAACATTTGTGTGTTGGCACATTAACATGCACACCATGATGGTGTAAGTGCTGTTTCTTTGGAAATCCTTATTTTCTTTTTAAAGAGCCTTGCTGTGTTAGGTTTTTTTAAATGTATTTCAAAAGCAGTTTGCACTCCGGTTCGTATATTTGAATTACGACTGCAAGAAAATTGAGTTGACTTTTCCTTTTGAAGGATTCTCTTGATGGCTTGTGCTCTTACTTTTAATCTGAAAAATTTCTTTACAGTATCACCAGCTGAGCTCTTTTCTTCATCTTGCTTTCTTTTGGAGCTGGTTAAATAAAAACTACTTATTCATACAGTGCACAGTGATGTGTTCTGTTTTCTTTTTCGTATTCTCGTATTTTTAATATTCTCTTAGAAAGGCAAGATTTGTGGGTAGTAGCAATACTTTTTATTAGACTTATTTGTATAGTGCAGAAAACTAGGCGTTTGGGTTTGAAAGCCCATTCTCAGATCTAAAATAGGAGCCATGGATCTTAAATCCAAGTGTTCTTCAGGTTTGTTTAGGGTTTAGTGAAGTAGGTATCTTAAACTACTTTTTTTCTTTCACAAATGGTCTAAATGCTTGTGAGTGTGGTTACCAGCAATTCTGGGTGGGCAAGCAGTTATAAGTAGGACCCTGAGGCTGCTCCACCCATATGGGCAACATTTCATTACCT